GGTGGAGGCCATCTCTTCCCAGCAGCTCGCTGCCTCTCTCACCAAAGAGCGGGCTGTGGTCGTGGAAGCCAAAGCCTTCCCGATGACACCAGCACTGCAGTCTTTGGTTTACTACCTGGATCCTCCTCTCCCTCCTCAGCCCATACCCCGAGACTGGGAGGATCAAAGAGAACACCACCTGTGCCCCCAGGCCCTTTATCCCCGCTCCCAAATCCCTATAGTGCCTCATGACCTGGCTGGGAGCACTCCGAGCTGTGTCATTGGTGCCCACATGAATAAGAAGCATGGGATATTGGTCTGTGGGCTGGAGGAGCTTAGGGATCTTCTCTGCAATGTCTCAGATGTGGGCCCCTGGGAAGCAGCAGACTTCCCTGGCTAAGGGGTTGGGGCGGCAGATTACCCCCTCAGTCCCCCTCAGGATGGAGTCTCCCACAACAAACACTTTACGTTTTGTCTTGGGGAGAGTGGGGGTGGTAGCTGCAGTTGAGCATGTGTTGCCTGCAAGAGCTGGCAACTCAGCAGGCTCTGCTGGGGCTGCAAGAGGTTTGTACCTGTTGCTAAGCTCTGGCGGGGCAGGGGTCTTGGTGCAGTGGGCCTTAGGGCCCTTGACCACCTTGGTCCATCCCCATGACTGGACAGAAGGGGAGGTCCCTGAGTCCTCCCTTGTCCTGGAGGGAGACCGTGGTCTACCCTCCGCCTCCTGGGGGAGAAGGGCCTGGCAGTAGGAGTCTATCTCCTGCTCACAGTTCCTGATGACACGCAGTCTCTGGACTGTGGCCTGGAGCTCCTCCAGCTGGCGTGCCAGAGACCCCAAAGGGAGCAGACCCCACAAGGGGAGGTAAACATGCTCCCGGGCCCCAGAGCCTGAAAAAGGGACAGGCAGCCCATGCAGTCGAGAGCCAAGGGCTCCATCTACATGGAGCCCAGAACAATGGGCTCCCTCTGGGTGGCCATCTCTGGGGGGGGGGGGGGGGGGGAAGGGGAGGGGCCACAGATCCCGAGGGGACCCTCAGGGTGCAGTGCATGCCTATCTGCATCATGTCGCTGGCTACGGATGAGACTGACTTCCCTAGGGCGGGGGCGCACAGGCAGGGCCTCGGGCCCTCCCGCATACCCTCCTGCGCAAACTCTGCGCTAACTCACGCACCAGCAGACAAACGCGCCTGTTTGCGCAGCCTGTTTGCGTGGCTCCGGCTCTCATACTTGAACTTGAGAACCTGAAGAATGATACATCATAAATGCTACAGTAATCAAACCTGAGCAGTTGAGAGGAGAGGGTTTGTCCATTGCATCTCCACAATATAACTGCACTAGACTCTCCACATACCACAGCTCCCATAGTGGACTCATGAAATGTGGTTTGATGACTCACTGTAGAAAGAGGGAAGGGGGTGACATGATGCCATTGTTGCCAATCTGACAAGTTTAAGTCATAAGTCAGTTCCCAAAAGTTGTGGGATTGTCCCAGAACCAGGCAATTATTTTTCAAGATAAGCAGGATTAGTTTGTCCACTGTGGCAGGAACTCTTGTTAGCCATCTAATGGGGTGGCACTGCAGTCACTTGGGGAAGGAAGACTTTGGAGTGTCCTCAGGGGTCATTCCAGCTAGAGGTGGGCACAGGAAGCGCGGAAAGAGTCCTTGCCCCAAGTCCCACCCAACCCTGCCTTGCCCCATGTCCTTCTCGGCCAGGGGAGTAGGTGACACTCTGCAGATACCTCCCATCACAGCACAGGGTGATTCCACCATTCCTGTTGGTTCCAATTGTTCTGAGCTCCCTGGGTCTGTTACAGAGGAATGTCCTTCTCCAAACAGCAACAGACCCCATGCCAGAGAGGGGCTGTTCCAAGCACAGCCACAGATGGGGAGATGGAGCAGAATATCTCCCTTGGCAGAGGACGGTATCCTGCCCAGAGCTGATATTTTCTGCATAGAGGACACAGGATCCTGAATGGGCTGATAACAAAACCATGGCAGCAGAGGAGGCTGTGGTGGGCACCTGTCACTGGAGGCAAAGGAGCCATAGACAGGAGAGCAGGGGTGAGAATTCAGGGTAGGCCAGGGACAGGTATGAGGGTTCAAGGCAGAGATGGTGACTGAGAGGGAGATGTAGTGACAAGGCAGAGAGGAGAAGGAGACAGTGATGTTTTAACACCTACTCCTCAAGGACTTCCTGGCCATTACTCCCAGCCTGGGACAGGGATGAGGAAACTGGGCCCCAGTGCCGATTAGAGACCTCCCCTTGGCAAATGAGCTGGCTCAACCCACACTTGAACCTTTTTTCCTGCTTTTGGCTGTTTGGGCCATCATTCTATTTCCATGGCAGAGGGGGAGGAAATACTTGGAGAAGGACTCTATTATCCACTCCCCTTGCCCCTTTGTTTTAATGATCTTTTGTGTGATGATATTTTTGCAAGCCCTGGCACCAATGTGATTTTCTTGGTTGACTTCATTGGCCTTTGGATGAGGTTCAAAGACAGTCAGAAATGGCTTATATGGCGCATCCAAAAATGTGTCCTAGTCATCCAATCAACAAGTATTGCCTGCTTACCAACACTGGTGGTGGTGACCCCTGATCAGTGTATTGGGCCTTGTGTTATACAGCATTCTATTTATCAATTGATATGCATTCTACTTCTTGGGAAGGATTTTTTTCTCCATCACAAGGAGCTGACAACTTTTTAAGAATTATCTGGGAATCAGTGAAAGAAACATGGCTTGCCAAGGAGGTAGGCAGCCATTAACTACAGATATTGGATAAATGAGAAGTTTTTATTTTGCTTGGGCATCCTTGGCTTGGAATTCTCCCAAGGAACAGGGTTTTCTGTGTGGTTCCTCCTACCTGGGAATGTCTACACAAGATGTTTACTGCGGAGTAGATTACCGTATGGCATATCTACATGTTGCCAGACGGTGGTGTTGCTATGGCGCTATGCTTTAGTACTTCCTTTTGGAAGTACTAAAGCATGGCGCAGTACGGGTACTGCACCATGCCTGCAGAGCACAGTTAGATTTTGCTGCTACATTGCTGTAGCAGTGCATTATAACTGGGGAGCATGCTGCTATGGCAATGTAGCTGGCAATCACATGTAGACCTACGTGATTGCTACATCACCATAGGGCAACATGTAGATGCGCCCAGTAAAATGTCAGTTTCTACATGTGTGGCCCTATTAAGCTGCAGTAAACTAATTAACTCTGCCATAAGACTTTACTGCCCAACACAAGTACTATCCTATGGTTGAGTAATTAAAAACACATGTAGATGCTGCACCCAGGAATAATTTACTCCAGCACAAATTGCTCTGCAGTTTATACTGTCACATTAATTGCACATGAAGATGCACCCTGACTGTCAGTTTCAGAACAGCTCAGATAGCAATGATCCCCGACACCTGCTGTCTGAGCTAAAATGGGGGCATTTAGACATAGCCAAACTAAATAGAGTGAAAGGACTAATGAAGTAAATGTCATTTGATCAAATAGCAATCATTTCTAATATTCTATAACATAGTGGCTGTAAACACGCTGATTGTTTCATGTTACCTGTAACCATCACTACTTCATATAATCAGAAAGCTGGCAATATGACTAAGTACAAATCTTATGAGAATACATTGCTGTCAGCTGCATTCTAGAAAGCAGTGCATTATGCCCAAAACCAGAAAGGCAGCGGCTAACTCAGTGAGTGGAATAAACTACCTGTGGTATAACTAAGAAACTAGCTATAAACACAACTAAAGTGTAGTTATGCTACCAGACTAGATACAGTATGATTTCAGTGATTCTGCATGAGAGGTGTAACACAAGAGTTGAATTTTAGTTTGAGCATTAGGCCACATCAGGCTGGTGAAAGAGAGTTCCTCCTGTTCCTAATTTCAGTGGCATTTCATTTTATTAAGGAATTTCCTACCCCAAATCTAGTCAGTCATTCAGCTGGGTCCTGCCTCCAAGCAGCAGATGAACTAGACAAGACTTTTCCTTGAGCTCTCTCTCAGCCTAATTATCTATGCTCACACTTTGTCCCTGCCCTAAGCTCTTACAGTAAGCAACCCAAGTGTGGATATTGTCCCCTTCTCCATCTTCCAAGCAGGGTTGGTTCCCTTCTTTTCAGCCTATGCTGCATCCTAGCAGCATCTCTCTTTCAGGCTTTCCTGCTGGCCCAGATCAAAGTTCAGTTTTCTCCTTTGCCTGTTTCTGCTCTTCTTGTTGGCAATGATGGATCTGGTCAAAGAGGAATAAAAGTTTTTTGGAGCTGCTGACACTGGGTAGACAAGCTCCTAGGCATTTTATTATTTTTAATCAAAAACACACTAACATCAAGGCTGGAAAAGAAAGCTTCTTCTTTTCTCTGAGATGGTTAGTTTATGTTTTCTCCTGACAGACAGGACCTCACACTGTAGGAGACAGACTAGTGGCTTAAAGAGGCTTTGATAGAAATAACTCCTCTTTTATCTATTTCTGCAAGTGCGCTAGGCGGGGTGGGCGGGGTGACAGCAGGGTACAAAATACTGTGGTGCACCAGCTGTGTCCAAAGCTGAAAAAGCTTCATCACCAATGGCTAGTGAGAATATCTACACAAATATGCCAGTTTTATCCAGGGAAAGAACATTCATGCCTTCTCAGACTTCAAGGCCAGGTAACACATTTTAATAGCTATCAGATTCATCTTCTTGTTTCCATTTAAGATTTTCCAATTCCTTCATATAATTGTGATGAAATTTTGACAAGTGGAAGAACTGTAGTAGGGGACAGAATTGCACCCTGTGGGGCAGAACCTCAGCCGATGTTAATCAGCCAAGCTCCAGGTAAGTCAATATTATTCCATTGAATTACTCCAGCTGAGGGTCTGCCCCAAGGATTCTGGGAACAAAATGAGGAATAATTTGAGCTGATTTTGAAATTAGGTAAATTGTTTATTTTTAAATATGACTTAACCTGGTCTGAGGGTTATTATGGTTTCAATAAATTAAGATCTTGTGAACTGTTAGCCATCTTGAAAGTCACTTCCTTACATCTTATGTATCTTCAGTGTGCTGCTTCTAGCAAAAGAGTTGTAAATTAATCTAAAATACCACCAAAAGCAGTTGATTCTGTGACTGCTTTTACTGCAAGGCACTCCCAGATGGATTTTCCTTTAAAATGACTCATTTTACTTTTTAGGGTTTAAATAACTATTTGCCATCAGTATTTTAGCAGATCGGTGACCATTTCATGTTGTTCTAATAAAAGACAGAACACCAAGTGAGAAAAGAGCTCGTACTAAAAATCTTTTTTTCCAGAATCCTTTTGCCAGCACTCAGAAAGATTTCATTCACTCAGTGCATTTTGACAAACTTCGGAAATGCAGCCAAGAGGACATCTGAAACGTATCATTTTTGGGTTATTTCAGTTTCTTTAGGATGGAATAATTATTACATATCTAAACAACCAACAACCTAATTTTATGAATATTAGTATTATCATCATTAATACTATTACAGCAAATCTTAATTCCTGACTGCAGAGTTCTTCTTAAATAATACTCAGTGGGAGAGACCAAATATTTATAGCCCTGTGTGCACACATGCATGTTGCATATATGATCAGAGAAAAGTGATATAATATCAATGGTGAGAAAAAGCTGTTATAAATATATATACATGCACACATGCACACACATACACACACACATATATGTATGTATATGTCTGTGTGTATGTGTGTATACATGTATATATATTTATAACAGGGTTTTTTTCCTCACCGTCGATATTATTTCACTCTTTTCTCTGATTGTACAGACAACATGCATATGTGCACACAGGGCTATAAATATTTGGTCTCTGTCAAATGTTGGCATCCAGGCAGTAGGTTTTAAACTTCAAATGGACTAGGAATCAAAGCAGGGTGCAAGTGCATCAGTGCACCTCCCTTGAGTCCACCCCTCCTTCTGTGTACTTGCTTAAATCAGTTAGCAGGCCATGCAGCTGTGGCTTGCATGGCATCATACTGTGGGAATGCCCAGAAAGGCAAGATCTAAGGGGAGAAAAACTCCACAAGGAACTTTTAATGGGGACTTCCCTGAACTCTTCTGTGCTGGGGAGGAGGAGGGTGATGACACGTGAAAAAAATTACTGAACTCATTTTTATAGACCTATGCAGGGTATAGAGAACCTGTACTTCTCTTGGGATACCTTTCTGATACACATTTTGGGGGACTGACCCCTCTCCTCCACCTTTGCCTTACTTCATAAAAGTACATGCAGCTAAAGCAGCACTACTAGGGCTTTTCCAACACCACGGGAAGAAAATGCACCAATGTCAATAAGGAGGGGTAGTTCACCTTGGTACTGTTCCAGGTCCTATCCGTGGGACTGAGGAGGGAACAGCCAGATCTCCAACCTACCAATGATTTTCCATCTGCCACCATGGAGCCTCTGGGCCCCAGAGAAAACTGATCCCTTCCCTGTTCCTCTGCCTGGTTGAACTCAGTGGTGAAAGGTGCCTGTCAAGCATGGTGCCTATATCACACAGGAGGTGCCTTAGTCTCAGATCATAATTTTCAAGCAATATCTTATGCCATAGATTTGGGTTTTAGCACATCTGTAGCATTTTCTTCTTCCACCAGTTCTGCAGTCCTGCCATGGAAAGTGGCTCACTTGGACAAGCTGCCAACTCTCCTGCGAAGTGCTCAGTCCAGGGTTCTTAGCCCCCACACAGTTAAAAATTATTTGTGTTAAGGTTTTACATTAATTCTGTATGTATGGAAGTGATGGGGAGAATCTGTTTCAGCAAATAGTGACCGTTTAAATCTGAGTCCTGGTTAGAAATAGGCATATCTAATAGTCAGTGTGGACTAGGAAACACCGTAGTGGATCCAGGAATGGGTCACGAAGGGTGCAGTCTGCCACTTGGACTGTGCCTTGCATGTGCAGTGAGCTCTGATATCTCCACATGACTGGGGAGGGGTCTGGCCACAGCTCCTGTTTTCATGTGACTCTGGAGCCCAGGAGGTGAAGGCTGCTTCTGTTTACCCTTCCTAATCTTCCTGCTCCTCACTGAATTCAGCAGCAGGGGAAAGAAATGGGAGAAATGGTGAAAGCAGTGTACTTACCCCCTGCACTTTAGAGATCTAGCTAGACCTTGCACCGAGAGTTCATGTGTGGCACAGCGAAATGGTGGTGCAGCCATGGCACAACACCCCCTGTGGATCTTCCCCTGCAGACATGTTCTTGTACACATAATAATAGTATATAGGGGGAGCTTCAACTGAAGTTACACCCATGCAATCCTTTCACTTCTCTTTCTACAGGTTTCTGTTCCCAGCATTCAGGCTGGATGTATGTTGCTGTAGTGCTGGGGATTGTCACTCTGATTTTGCTGGCTGTTATTATTGTTATTTCCCACCAGGGTGAGTGCCACTTTTCACATGACAACACCTGCTTCACTCCTTCAGTTCCATACTTCATTAAATCTACCACCGAGGCTGTGAAATAGAAACAATGGCAGTAATAAAACATTGCATTTGGCAGCTTAGGCCCCTGCCATACATTGCATATATTACACAATTAACTGGTTAATTGCACAATAAATTTAGATCGACCCCACATGTGAAGTAACTATCACACCATAGAAATGTCCATCCAGCTATAAAAATAGCCAACCAGCTACAAAGTTAGTGCTTGAAAATGTGTAAAAATGTTATAGTTGGTTTCTATCCAGATTTAATTTGAATGTGTGGTAGGGCCCTTAAACACCAATGAAGACATTCAAATGCTGATGTTTGACAGGGGTATTGATCACCATGTTATTGGGGACAAGTGAAGTGAGAACTCAACACCCAGTCAACAATCAAAAGTACGTTAGGTGCTCTGTGGGGATTTTATGCTGCTATGAGAAACAACTTTTGATTCTCCAGGTTCAGATGATTACATTTTCCAGCTTGATTTTGCATCCAGTGAGTTCCCTCTATTTCATTACCTGGGCTCACATCATGTGCCAATGCAAATTAGTGTAGCTCCAAGAAAAATGTCCCAGTTTAACAACGTGCTGAAGCACATGCACAGCTGGAGACACTTGCTTGGGCTACTAGCAGACGTTAAGGCAGTCATGTGATTGAAGCCTGAGGAATTTTTTGCCCCACTTTCCAAATCATGTGACCTGCCATGCCACATGTGCAAGCATTCAGCTGGGGCCCCCAACTGTAGGCCCAGTTTTCAAAAGTCCAGGCTGAAGTAAGCACAGCATCAGGGAGCCGTTTCCTGATGTCAGGTGCAGAGTGCCCCGGATCTTTCGCACCATAAGACCAACAGTGGGGAGAGGCTTCCTGATCTCAGGCTGATGGTTGTCCCCACAATGCACCTGGGGATGGAGGGCATCTCCCACTCTGCACTGTACAGGGTTGGTTTAAAGATGCACCCATACAAGCCACAGGGGATAGGAAAAATCCCTCATCCCCAGCTGCTAGTGGCAGGGTGCTCTTTAAACAGGAAAGTTTGGCTGGGGAAGAGTGAGCTTTCCCCATTCCCTGCTGCATGTATCAGGTGCCTCTTTAAACCCGAGTATACAGCAGGGGATGGGAGAAGTTCCCTCATCTCTAGCTGTGTGCCTGGCATCTTCTGGTGACAGAGCAGGGAGCAGCCCGGTTTAGGACCTGGAGCTATCCCCCAGCCAATTGGCCAGGGGGAGGCTTTGTCCCAGGTCCCAGGGCTTCCCTGTGCCAGACCCCAATCCTTAGGTTAGCATCAGGTTTCAGCACCTAACAGCCCCGTCCAGATTGGGACCAAAGGCTCTTCTCATGTCCAATCCTTAGGATCCGGCATGAGTGAGCTATTTGTCAAACCTTGGAGCTGCCCCATGCTCTGATGCTCGCTGGGGCCTGACACCTTAAAGGGTCTTAAATCTTGGGGGCTGCAGAGCAAGGTTTTTTAATGTGTTAGGTCCTGGCAAGCCCATATCCTGATGTAGGCAATCAGCTGATTGTCAGAATCAGAACCAAGGCAGGCCCTAGACAGGTCCAGATCCAGTGCTACTCAGATCCTGATTTTGACAATCAACAAGAGACAAACCAAAACAGAAAATCATTCTTTTATCTCAAACCAGTGCCAAATGGTGCAAATCTGTTCTTATTCATTTGTCAAGCGGCCTTATTATATGAGCAGGCCCTCCATAGTACAGCTGGGATTTCTACTCCTTTGGTAAAGAAGTTGCATTGCATTGATCCCCTTAGGCACATCTACATGTGCATGAATAAACTGCTGAGTTTATTGATTCTGAGTTTTTTGCTCCTGGGTACACTGTTTGAATGTGAGGCCAGGACCAATTAACTCTGGAGCAATACACTCCACAGTTTATTCATGCACAGAACATGGAGCTGGTCAGAGTGACCTTGGTTGGCAGGTGGCCCCAGGGGTCAGTCTGCCAACTCAGGGGCTACTTCCCCTGGCTCAACCTGCTGTGGATGGGTTGGCTGGGGCATGAAGACACTTCAGCATGGGGTTAGCTGGCAGGCAACCCCACAAAGAAGTACACTTATGTTGCAGCCAGCCCTATCAGCATCTACAGGATTTTTTACTGTGAAATGGGATACTACTTGTATTTACAAATACTGTCCTGCTGCAGAGTAATCTAATTTACCCAACCTAATAGGGACATACATGTTGATGCCAAGACATTTACTGTGGAGCTAATTAGTCTACTGCACTGTAAATGTCTCATGTAGATACAGCCCTTGTTAACTATATAATCTTTTCTTTTGTATTTGAGCCTCAAGGGGCAAGGCTGACAGTTCAGAGAGTTGCTCTGAGATTGGTACAAATTGCACTGGCAATTGCACATCTTCCAGGAAGTACCGGTATGGAGAGAGTTGCTCCACAACACTGAAAATGCTGATAGAGAATCTCTGTGTAAAGGAGCAGGGTAAGAAGATTCAGCTCTTTTTGTGACCTGAGCACTATGCATTGTCTGCCTCTGATTTTTTACTTCTCACTCTGATAACATTATGAGTTTTATGGAGGCAGCCATAGAGCTATTTTCTGTGTAAGCTAGTGTTTCTCAGAATCTGGCCTTGATTATTTTTAAAGCATATCTTTGTTCCCATTTGGCAGCTGTAAATATTAATATCCCCCACGTTTGGTTGGCTATACAGGGAAAGTGTCTGAGCAGAAGCTGTACCATGTAGTCCCTGTGATACTATGACTTTCTGAGTCTGATAAAGCTCCTTGCACCCCATGGCTTTGTCTACATTAGGCTTGATGTGATAGCAGTGAACATGAGCTAACACGTACTAAGTAACCCATGAAAAGTCTTAGTCTAGGCTAGGCCTAGTGCCCTTAATGTGTGTTCAAGTAGTTGCATAAGTTAAGTTCTCCCTTTTTCTAGACAAGCCTAGGGGACAAGGAAGCTGTTCTTCTTGGTTCTCTATCATCCCTGCTTTTGCTACTATGTACCACAAAAGCTCCCCCTCCCGCTCAAGGGATGACACCTGTAGAAAGATCCCATCTGATACTTCAATAAGTAAGTTGTGTGGTACTTGGTGACAAACTTGTGATACAGTGCCCGAGGGAATACCAAGAATGACTATACAAGTTCTATTGGACTCAATGTCCAAAGGGGCTCATGTGTCACATTTTAGTACCTACATTTATGCAATGGGAGGACTTTAGTAATGATGATGTTTAATTACTTTCCTTGGACCCACTCAGGATGTGAGCTCTGTCCCCCTGGGTGGCAACTGCACATGGGCAGATGTTATCACTTCTCAGAGGACATAGCAGCCTGGGATGCCAGTCAGAGACACTGTTCAGCCAGTCGGTCCCAGCTTCTCATCCTAGAAGGTGAGGCCGAGATGGTGAGTCCTGGAGCCCCCCGCTTAGTACCCAAGAGTCAGATGCTGCAGTGGACAACAGTGATTCATCTGATTGTACAACGAGCTCTGCGCAGGCAGGCTCACCTGAAATGAAGGCTGAACTTGGTTCTTTGTCTCCCTTCCAAGAGCCTGTGTGGAGAGAAGCCATGAAGGCCCTTCTTTGGCCTGACCTGGCCTCCTGCTGATCCATGCTCAATGATCCCAGAATGACTCTGCCCATGCAGGGTGCAGGGGCTCTTTCCCAAGTGAGTGGGAGGCTGATTTGAAGAGCTCAGGGATCCCCCTCCTCAATGGCCATCATGAGAGGGGACTGAGATGAGTGTGGAATTAAGAGCCTTCTCCCACTTTCCTCAGTCTCCTTAGTGAAGGAGCTTGGCCCTGCTGATGGATGGACATGTGTTGCACTCCAGCCTCTGCCTATCCATTCTTAGATAATTTAGGGCAGAGATTCCTTTTACATGGGGCAAAGGTGCTGACTGTCAGGGCTGAAGGACTGGAATCTCCCTTGCAGTCTGGCTGTTTTGAGCCCCCATGCTTCCTTGGGCATGGGGTTTCTAGACTCTGAAGACTTGGGGCTTTGCATCCAGGAATGCTGAGAAGCAAAGTGGGTTGGGCATTTCTCTGTAAGCCCCAAATGTTTTGAAAGGTGTCAGGATACCAATCCATGAGAGCAAGCACAGGTGTGGGTGAGCCATGTTCATGTCTCTCATGCACCTGTGTGAAAGCTGAAGGTATGACAGAACAGTCAGAGCAGAAAAGCCCCTGTCTGAGAAATTAATCCCTACTTTTTCCACAGGAATTTTTAGACCAGAAAAAGGAACAAAACAGATTTTTCTGGATCGGACTAACCTTCAGAGAGAAGGAGGGACGATGGATTTGGCTCAGTGACCCTCAGACCAAAGGATACAGGTTGTGGGTCTTGGTGGGCTTTTCCTTGTGCCCTAGCAAAGTTGTATTAATGCTGATGTAGACATGTATTCAAACACCCTCACCCTCAAAGGCTGGTCCCCAAAGGTCATGTCAAGTTCTGCAGCTGGAGACACAGATCTAGATCCACCTTATAGTTCAACATCCTCTATGGGGTGAGGTCCACACAGACAGGTTCTCAGTGTGCAGAGTCAGTGTGTTTGAAAGCCCCCTGGCACACATGCTTCTGCAATATGACCTAATCATTGGTCTCAGGTGTCTGTTCCAGGGTTGTCCCAGTCACACCTAGATCTCTTTTCCTGTCTCTGTAGCTAGTTTAGGTGCAGCACAGAATGGCATGAATTGGGGTGTGCTGCGCTGGTGTAAAACCTGACTTTCACCAGCTGGGTGTAGGCAGGGATTTCCTGTCATTACAGTGACGCTGATGATCTCCTCTCTGTCCCCCTGTGCTTTGAGCAAAGTTGTGAGAGTGCAGCTGGGGAGAATATGCTACAGTGACAAATGTGCTCCTTGATGGTAGGGACTGATGTGGGAAAATATTTCTGACTAGTTTAAAAATGGATCACAAAGACTGCAGTTTGTGAAGTTACCCAGTTATAGCTGATGACAGTGACCACCTACTGGGTTGTGATTGTGGGGTTGTCCTCTGCCCATATCTGACCATCACTGTGTATAAGGTGTGCCATCCCTCTCAGTCCAGTCCCTGTTAGGGTACATATATATGCCCCAGTGCAGTGTAGTGCACAAAGATCAGAGCTGGCTAATTCCCACTTCACTTTACATGCATAAATGGCATGTACACAGCCATGGAATTCCAGTTTTGAAGCATAAACAAAGTTTTGGATTCTATTGTTCCTAGGGCAAAAGAGATGGGATGGGTCTTCACATGTTTTAGCCCAATTTCTTGGTGGTTGGCACACCCACCCTGGAAGCCAGAGACTCTCACTTTGGAGCTCCTAATGTTGTGAATCTGCTTCTGCTTCCTAGCAAAATGTGCTGACCAACAGGCCACAGGCTAGGCATCAACCATTTTCTACAACCACTTGCATGGACCTGAATCACTGAACCTTGCATTCAGTCAGCATTGGATAAAATGGAACAAATGCACTGGGGAAGCCATTTTACTTCACTACATGCTCTCAGATTTGCTCTCTTTCTCTGTCTCCTGGTTCCACATATCTCTCCATCTACAGCTGCTCAGGGGGCCAGCTTTAAAGGGAGTGCTGAAAAGACACCTGGATAATGCCTAGCCTGTGGTTGTGGCCTGGTGGGTAAAGCACTGTGCTGGGAAGCAGGAGAGGCACATTCAAATTCCCTTCTTGGGTGAGGGGAGCCTGTAATGAGCCTGCTCAGTGAGTGCCTACATGTTTATGTGCATAGATCTGACTTGCACACTGTGCACAAGTGCCAGAAACTGCAGTTGCATTGCTGCGCAGATACCATTTTTCTGCAGGAGAGAGAGAGTATTCATATGTGACATTTAGAAGGCATGTCACATTTAGCTGTTAGAAGGCACAGAACTACAGCTAAGATTAATCCAGCATGGCCAAGATGCCACATGCTTCAAAGGGAAGCAAACGCATATGCTCCTAATTATGGATGATGCCCCTCAGCAAATTTGCTCTGGTGTGTGCCAAGTACTCCAAGACAGTGGCACCCACTGAACTCACCCTTTGTCTCCTGCATGGGATTTACAGCCCCCTCCCTCCACCTACAGCTCAGCATTTCTGCTCTAATAGAAGGTTCCTTCCTGCTGCTAATTCTCATGCACATGTATGTACAGACCTTGGGAGAGGTCTGCCCATGGGAGCCCTCTCAGTCAGATATTTCCATTCACTCCTCAGGGTGGCAATACATGAAAATGAAGCTGGCAAGCACTGTGCTCTTTACAAAAGGAAGCAAGGGATTGAATTTGAAAGCTGTCAAAATTCACACAGATGGATCTGCAAGAAAAATGCAGTCCTGCTGGCTCCGTGAGACACTGCTGGCTCCTAGGCACCATCCTGTATCGGAGAGATACACTCTACTGGTCGGTGTGACATCTCTACAAAGAAGCATCAGGGCTTTCTACAGAAACCTGTACATACAGCAATCCTCCCTGGATTACAGACTGGCAGGGTTGTGAGCCTGGACTCTGCTGTTGGATGTTCCAGCCACAGCAGGTTAGCTCCAGGGATTGTCTGTGTCTTGTACAGTAGACTACACAACCCCGGACAGCGACTGAAAACCAGGGCTCCCTTTCCCAGCTAAGTGTCCTTTCCACCAGTTGGAATTGAAGTCTTCTTCGGCACGGCTCACTCTCCTTCTCTCTGTCCCCCAATGCATCTTTTATTTTTTGCAGGCCCATCTCTCCTCTGACTTGTTTATGGCCTGGTGGTTGGGGCACTCTCCTGGGAAGTGGAAGGGGTGGATTTGAACCCTTCAGCCTGAGGGATGTAAGTGCCAGCATCATATTCCCTGGGTGAGTGCTCTAACTGCCAGGCCATGATGTAGAAGGTGGGCAGCACTCCCTTTTCTGGGAAGGCACCAGCCCCATCTGTTCCTGTGACAGAATAATTGCAGACACCTGCCCATAAGGGGGAACTCTGGGATGTAGGCCCCAAGGGGATAAAGGTCCCTTGTCAGGCTACACCGATAGGGCTTCACCCTTGTTCTTGGATTGCGAACCCATGGTCCAGAGTGGGAGATGGTCTTGATGTGAGCCTGGTTCTGGGCTGGAGAAGACCTAGACTCACATACATCCTATTGCCAAGTGGCACACTCTTATTGAGGCCCCTCCCCACCATCCACACACTGACACCTTGATCTGTGTCAAGACTTAAAGTAAGACTATTTTGTATGGCAACTATTGTGCAGATAAATAACACAGGTGACTTTATAAAAATGTTAAAACTACATTTACAAGAGCCATTGCTGGATTTAATAAATGCAGTGAAAACAACCTTGAAGTTCTGGGGAAAGCTACACTTTGATATTTTGTTAGATGGAAGGAGAAACAAAGCAGTGAATAGGTGTATTACTAACTTTGGGTTATACAGCAGTGCAGTGTGTGGGGACATGACTTCTGGCCTTCAGGGGCCTCCACAAGTCTGGAGCCATGGCAATTAATGCTGCCACTCCTCTCTGCCACTAAATTTCCAGGCCTCTGTGGAGCCTGAGGGCCAAGAACATGCCCCAACAAAATGCAGTCCTCATTCAACTGGAAAGACAGCCCAGGCTTGGGGCACTGGTACTTTTGACACTGCATCTAGATAGCTTTTTCCAAACATAATGAGAAGCACAATCATTCATTTTCCTGCTAGCCAAGTGATCAGCCCATTTCTGTTGGGAGCTAGTAACACTAACCCATGTGCTCCTCACCTCCTAAGCAGGTGCCCATAATTTTCTAGCAAGGGCAGATGGTCACAGCAGTAACAATTCCAGTGAAGTAACATAGAAGAACGCATTTCCGCAGCAGTGCAAGGCATCACCTCAGCAATTTACACACAGTACTCATGTCCTGTTCACTTCCTGCTCTGGCTCAGGTCCTATTCCTAATATTCATCAATTAAATTGTTCTAGGAATTGGCTCCCTTTACAGGAAACTGCTTCCATTGGGCTCAGCACTTGCGAACACAGGAGCCTTGGTGGAATATTGAAGACCTGGAAGTAGAGCTCTCTTGATGATGGATCCAAAGCTCAGAAAGCCCTGCCAAGGGAAAATCATACTCATGACAGATAACAAACCTGAATGGAGAGGGAGAAAGAAAGAGTGGCAGGATAAAAAGGAAAGGCTTAGAGCTTGTCCACAAGCAGCTTTGCATCAGTGTGAGAAAAAGATGTGGTAAAGTGAAGAGAACACCTAATATGGAAACAGCCATACTTTCTTTCTCTCACACACATGCATATATGTGCACACACGTGCACACACACATGCACACACAAGCACATACATACACATGCATGCACACAGACACACACATACACACGAGAGAGACCAAAAAGGCTATATAAAGTTTTTTAAAAATTGGATCAATATCATGAGTTTTGGACGCTGATCCATGACTTTTAAGCTGCTGAAGTTGGCAAGAGCATCATCTGGTCACTCTTTGCTCTTTCTCTACAGTGCAAATTCAAACACATTCCATGTGCCCCACATGGAGACTGTGCTGTGTAGAGTAGCAGATGCAGTTAGAAAGGTAAAAATCCATGGAACCAGATCAAAAGAAAGGAATATTCAATCCCCTCCTCCCCTTTCTTCTATCAAGTACCTGGTTTTCTCTTCTGCAGTACCCATGACTGGTTAATCTGTCAGCTCTCCAATCAGGCCTAAACTCTATGTTTCTAAGTCTTGTGGCACTGCTTCTGCTTATGCAAAAATAAAAGAAAGTTCCAAGCTGTGGGAATCTGCTTGTGGACTCAGTAGTACATCTAGTCTCTGCCTGTTTCTGCAGTAGAGGCAATTGAACATCTCAGAATTTGTCCAAAAGGAGCATTCATTCATGGTGTAAATGATGGGATTGAATGCATATTTCCACATGACACTGAATTGGGTATAATTGCAGACTCTCTGAAGGGCAGGGCTAGGATCCAGAATGACATTGATTGACTGGAAAAATGGTTCACAGACAAATCAGATTCAACAAGGACAAGTCCAAAGTCCTGCACTTTGGACAGAATAACTGTATGAATAAATACAGTCTGGGGAATGACTGGCTAAGTGTCAGTACTGCAGAGAAGGACCTGGAGTTTATGGTGGACCATAAGCTGAATAGGAGCCAGGAGTATACTCTTGTTTCTTAAAAAGCCAACATATTGGGTTGTATTAACAGGAGTGTTATTTACAAGTCAAGGGAAGTGATTCTTCCAGTCTATGCAGCACTGGAGAGGCCTCACCTGGAATCCTGTGTCCAGTTTAGGGCCCCACAGTTCAAGGACAATGTTGACCATTTGGAAAACGTCCAGCACAGGGCAACAACAAGGGTGATTATAGAGAGACTGAACATGAACTTTCATTCACAACCATAGGGTAAAGAACTAGGACCAATGTCCTCAAGCTTTAGCAGGGTAAATTTAGGCTGGAGATTAGGATAAATATTTTGGTTTTGAAGGAGGTCTAGATGTAACTACACATATTGCCATTCAACTGTTTTCAGAAGGTCAAATTCATCACTTTATTGAGAAAAAGATTTAATATAATTTCATATTAGAAGTTGTTTATATGCACACTATCCTTACCCATCTACTTCCTTCACACCAGTTTGCAGGAGCCATAAAAGGGATTGCTTCAAATAGAAATTTTCCAATGTAACGAGTACTTTGATAAATATGCCAATTTCTTCCAAGCTTGTGGGGCTTCAAAAATGTTATGGATTAGCGCTGTATGTTTCTGTAACCAGTGCTAGTAAGCTATTTTTCTCACTGTGCAGGAAACTGCCCATGGTCAGACATCAATAGCTCCAGGTAACTGGGTAAGTAATGCATACACAGCAGCTCACAGACCAACTAGAGCAGGGGTGAAAAACATCACAAAGTCAACAGGGTTACTCAGTGCAGCAGGGCTAGAAGTGGACTGTGAAGTAGTCTAATTTAATCAGAGCTGTCCCAAGGGGGAGGGGGAGGGTGAATTGGGGCAACTGTCCCAGGCCCCACACTTTGGTGGGGTCCACAGACAGTGCCACGCAGGCCCCGAGGGCACCACCACTCCATGCGGCCGCTGCATGCCGCCGGGTTCGCACTCTAGCTGCTCACCATCCCTTCCCCCCACACAGGCTGATATGTCCTGCACAAACACAGAGACTCTAGTAGCTCCTGCACATCCCTAGGGTCAGCTCTGAATTTAATGCATAGCAATTCAAGTACAGGTGTAGACAGTGATGCTTTTCTGCACATTACATTAATCTAATGTGCAGTAAAGCATCCTGTGTAGACATGTTTACTGTATTCCTGACCACTCGAAACTTTTCCTCTTAAAACCGCATACTTGGAATTGTAAAAGTAAAACATTCCTCTTTCATAGGACTTTGTGCCCTGCTATGTGGGGCAAACCAGTTGGGCACTGACTGGGGCTCATAGCTCTGGCAATCAGAAGTACCCTTATGCTTCAGAAGCTCCTGTTCAGAAACATAGTTATAAATATGACATTACCAGAGGGCCTCTAGGGTGCAAATAGAACTCATAATTCTATTTTTCTAGACACAACCCATCTCTCGCCAGCTTTGTGGATTATCATATTGCTTACCCATAATTCTATAGGTCTCTTAGTTTGGAATTCATAGTTTGTGATTTTATAAATGATACTAGATGACTAACTGTGCTCTAGGAAGTGGGCCACTGTTCAGTGCCTGGCAGAAAAATTACACTGCCAGACTGGATCACAACAACAGTTCATTAAGTCCAGCAGTCAGTTCCAGATGTTTCGGAGACAGTTACAAGGTAACCCTCAGTGTCATAACATGACTCATGGGGAAGCTACTTCCTAACTCCTATTAGGTTTCATAAAATTCAGAGCCAGACATTCTCTTTTTCCCATGTATAAGCCCAATTCTCTTTTAAATTCTCCCATCAGGGTATCCTTGATGCCAGAGTTTAGCTCAGTATTCTCTTACAACGCCTGGAGATGACATGAGTGTTAGACCCAAGGCTTCATTGCTTCACAGCTTCACCATCTAAATGGTCCACATAAGGCTGAAGTTAACACCTTGAAGTAGTCAAACACACTGTGGTTTTACAGTAGTGTTCTGCAAGGCCCATGTCAGATTAGCAGCTTTTGTTTCACATTCAGACCTGTTTGCAATGAAAACAGCTACAGACTTGCAGGTTTTTTGTTTGTTTGTTTGTTTTTAATTTTGCAAACAAATGGTTCTGTTTAATGCAGAAGAAAACGTGGCAAGAGCCTCAACTACCAGGGTTTAGTCAGGCTTCATGTTGCTGCTCTTATGATCAAAGTGAGCAGTTACATAGACTGTGGCTGTGTCTACACGAGCTGCTGACTGCGCAATAGCTGGCACTACTCAGCTATTGCACAGTCAGCATCATGAAAAAGCCATCTGTCGGCATGACTGCACTGTCAAAAATACAACATTACTTTGCAGTACTACAAGTACAAAATGACTTTGCAGTAATGACTGCATAGTCAGCGTCTCATATTTATGTAGACAGTAATGAGCAAAGCCAGCACCAAGTGACACCTTCCCCCAGGACTGAGAAGGACCTAAGGTGTGAACCAAATGCCATTTTAGGACAAGGAGACAAGAAAGCCACTTGGCCAACATACAGTTAGGGAGCTCTAGGGTCTATGGGACAGGGCCCTCCACTGTTGTACCTGACACTTACAAAAAAGTCCCCAAATCCTTAAGATCCTGGTAGAGCTGCGGCAGGCAGGATCAGAAGATATTGCTTGCAGGAGCTGGTGGGGGCCTGTCAGGGAGAAATGCCATCTGGGGATGAAACAGTGTGGTCTATAGAGGCCAGAGGAGGCAAGTGTGAGATAACAGAACAGGAGAGACCCAGAAATGGGAGAGAAGGGCAGCCCCAGAATGAAAGACTAAAACAGAAAGGGAGAGCAGGAGACTGACTTTGCATCCCATGAGGATCACATCAAGGCTGCACAAACTGCCAGCTCGACATTTCCAGCCTCATAGGATTTTTGCTACCAGGAAGTGCAAAGGTATCAAGACCTGGGTCATGCACAGTTGTTATGGAAAAGTTTATGATCTTGAACAGGTCTTTGCACATGGACCTGGAACTCAGCCCTGCGGCAGAATAAATGCTGAAGCAAATTCTGCTCACAGTTACACCAGTGCATCTTGGGAATGACCTCACCAGTATTAGTGAAGATACTCCTGATTTACACTGCTATACATTAAGGCAGAATTTGTTCTGTTTTTCTAAATTTCCAAGGTAAAAGCTCCCTCTTGGCATCCTGGTGTATCTCACTGCTGATCTGTGTTGTCTGTCTTG